TTCGTACGATTTCTCTCGCTTCCACATTGTTGTTCATCTTTGTTTTCGTTACATGGTATCAGAGCAACCACGTTCTTTTTCCTATGCTTTGAGTTTAGTGCTCGGTGTTTTAGTCTAGTGCTTGCAAAGATGAACGGTGGAAGCAATGTTTGTGTAGATAAGCTTACCAGTGATAATTATAGCTACTGGAGACTATTTATGGAAGCTTTTCTACAAGGGCAAGATTTGTGGGATCTTATATCTGTTGTGTAATTCTAGATGATACTCCACAAAATGCTGAGGTACGAAGGAAGTGGAAGATCAAATGTGGCAAAGCTTTATTTGCTTTGCAAACTTCTATTGGCAAGGAGTATATCGAGCATGTTCATGATGTGGATTCTCCAAAAGAAGGGTGAGATACACTTGAAAGGTTGCTCACTCAGAAGAACACGACAAGGTTGCAGTATTTGGAGAATGAACTTGCTGGAAAAACTCAAGGTAATTTATCGGTTTCAGAATATTTTCTGAAAGTTAAAACTTTGTGTTATGAAATTTCAGAATTGGACAAGGAGGAACCCATTACCGATGCCCGTTTGCGTCGGTATCTTATTCGTGGACTGCGAAAAGAGTTTATGCCGTTTATTTCTTCGATACAAGGTTGTGTAAATCAACCTTCTATCATTGAGTTGGGAAATTTGCTATCAAATCAGGAAGCCTTGGTGAAACAAATGCTTGGTGACAACAAGTGGTCTTCTCCTGAGATAGAAGGTATTCTTTATACAAGAGACAAAGTAGAAAGAAGTTAGGCTTTTTAATGTTCTTCAGATGATAGCAAGCATTCTGGGAATGATAGGCAGTCCAAAGGTAATTCGAAAAGATGTTTTAGGTATGGAAAGCCAGGACATATCAAGCGTGATTGTCGGGTGAAGGTGGTATGTAGTCGATGTGGGAAACCAGGTAATATTAAACAAAATTGTCGAGTGAAACTTAAGGAAGCAGAAGCAGATGTTGTACAAGAAATTAACAAGCCTGAACAACTCAATTGGGAACATTGTTTATCAATTGAAGTTATTGATCAACTCATTAATTGTTGTACTAATGCTTCTTTTGATTATAGTGAGGATTGGTCTGATGGTTCTGGTTGTTTTCATCATACTACTGAAGATGTATCTCTTTTTTATGATGTTTGTGGAAGATGAGTCAATGCGGTGGCTGGTAATTCCTTACATCCTGATGAGGAAGAAGGACATGTCAATATTGAAAGTCGTGAATTGGGCAATGTTGTTCGTAAAGATGGTTGTCATGGTCCAAATTTGAACAAGAATGTTGTTTCAGTCTCTCAGGTTGCTGATGTTGGGAGTGTTTCTAGAAACAAGTTGAATTGTTGCAGGAATTATGCTCATTCTTGTGCTAAAGATGGTTCCAGCTTAAATTGTTTAAATAATCCGAAGGTTAGCCTTATAGCTGGACTTATTGCTGGGTTAACACTTGGTTGTTTGGTCGGATTATTGTTTTTCTGCAAGGGTGACTATAAAGGCTACACATACGGAGTCTTTGTAGATGTTGCAGGTCAAGTTGATCGAAAAATTTCTTTTGATCAGTTGAAAGGAGTTGCATGGAGGGAAAGCCTTGAGGGAGATGCTTTCCAACATGAGAATTTTGGTGTTGTCTACCATCTTGTAGAACTTAAGCTTAGGAAACTTACTTTGGATTGGCCTACTCAAATGTGTATGTTGTTGGACACAACTCGAGGTTTAGAGTATTGTTTTGAAAGTTGCAATCCAAAGATTACTTATCGAGATGTTGTGATTGCTAATGTATTGCTTGATGAAGATTTTGAAGCATTTGTTCATGATTTTGGCCTAATGAAGTCCGTTGGTGTTAGCATGACTTATGTCACTCGAGTTTGGGAAATAATGGGTCATATTGAATTGAAGTATTTATTTACCGGAGAATCTTTAGGAAAGATTGATATTTTTTGTTATGACATGATTCGTTTGGAACTTGTTACATGTCAAATTGATTTTTTGTGCTTTCAGGACGAAAATGATGTTCTACTCCTCGATCAAGTCAAGAAACTGAAAAGGGAGAAGCAACTCAATGAAACAATGAATTGTTTTCGTATGAGGGAGGCAAAAGCGATTTCTACTCCTATGGAGGAAGATTGAAGTAATCAAAAGTGCACAATGTTGTTGCCTGTATCTGTATGTTTGCACTAAGGGGGAGTGTTAAGAATTAGTGCAAACATGTATTAGTTTCTTTGTTAGTGGTTCCACAATTTTAGGAGTTATGCTCCGTAATTAATTTCATATTGGGAAGTTTATTAAGTAGTGGATGAGTGGATTGAAAGTTTAGAGAATTAATAGGTTAGTGGCTTAGTGGAGTTATGGTGTTGGTTTAGGGAGAATTTGAAGGTTGTGGCCTAAGTGGTGAGTTAGTGGCCTAAGTAGTGGATTAGTGGTTGGTTTTCTTATTCCCTATAAATACTTTGTAACAATCTCAATTCAAGGAATAAAAGTTATTCCTTCGTACGATTCTCTCGCTTGCACTTTGTTGTTCATCTTCGTTTTTGTTACAGTTCCAACATAAGTAAATATATTTGTTTCATCGTTCCTGTATCTATGGGTGTGGGGAGTCATACAATTCTTTTTTCTTTATCAAGAAAAGAGGAAACAAAAAAAAAAAAAGAGAACGAAACGAGCCCAAATAATTGGTTCCTAACAATAAATGAGAACGAAATAATTGATAGATGATAGAGCTTAGGATATTTGGATAAACCTTCAAACATCTAGGTCATGCCCCAAGTTATACGACCCATTTTGGTAAGGCCTCGTTTGTTAATGTTCTCATTTCTCGTTTCCAATTTTATTAAGAAACAATAGTATATGACATCTATTTACATGTGTTGTTTCTCATTTTTTTTAAACATTCTCAAAACTGTATAGAAATTTTAAGAACAACGAAAACAAATTTCTTATTTCTTGTTATCGTTTTCAATTTGTTTCAAAACATAAATAAGAATACAATTTTATCATTCTTAAATTGATGGATGTTGGAGCATGCAATTCTATTTCTCTTATTTAAAAATTAGAATACATAAATAAGAAACAGAAACATTACCAAACTAGTCCTAACGTCTCGTTTCTTATTTCTAGTTTTATTAAGAAACCTAAAAATTTCACAACTATTTATATTTATTTTTTCTCATTCTTTTAGAAATGTTCCCAAATTTGTATATAAATTTTGGAGGAAAAAAAACAATCTATTTCTTGTTCCCGTCTCTAACAAAACCAACTTTTCTTATTTTTTTCATAGGAAAAAATGAAGAAAAGAAATAGTCATGTTTTTTTAAAAAAGAGGAAATAGCAAACAAAAAATGAGAGGGTTATCAAACGGATCCCCTAGTAACTTTTGGAGTTGACTTTAAAGCTAGATTAGCGAGAGTGGGACCATAAGCATAATAACATAAGGAGTATGATCCGGAACACCCAAATTTAAAGAGAAACAATTAATAAATGCTAGTTGAGATTAGTCGGTAAAACTTGGAGTAATACTCTTTATGCCAAAGCAATTCCTTGTTGATCAAAGAGTCAAGTTTCTTGCCCATAAACATAACATCTAGGGACGGTTTGTTTCGTGGGAATCCGAGATTCCCATTGGACAGGAGTCTAGATTCCAATGTTTGTTTTTATGAGAATGTAGGGTATTCGGGAATCTTGAGATGCTCGAGTATCGTAGGATGCCCATACAACATCTTACGAGTTTTGGATGCCCTTTTGAAACACGGGTTTCCAAAATTCCCGTTTTGAGGGCATCCATCTTTTTACTTTTTTTTTTCATGTATTTTCTTTCATCAATTTTTTTAAATTTTTCCTCAAAAAAATTCTTTAGTCTTATTTTAAAATTTATATTTAAAATAAATTAATGAATTCATCGTCTAATAATCAACTTTATGCTATTAACCATATTTGTACATTAGATTTACATGTAAAATAAATTGCAATAAAATTATATAATATATCCATTTATTTTTAATATTTTGAAGGAATTACATTATTAATAATATTTATTATCATAAATATATAATTTTAAAGCAACATTTTTTTTTACTACCAACATACTTGTCATATTTTGATGATAGGATAAGTAAATTTCATTTTACTACCAGCATAAATGATATGATTGTCTTTTTGGAAAACTATTAAAGTTGAAAATAAAATTTATATTGAGTTAATCTGAATTAATTTATTCTACAAAATAACATATAAAAAACTAAAAATATTAAATTAATTCAAATAAATTTATTATATTAAATGAATTTATAAATTATATAAATATTCATAAGGACATTTTTTGAACATTCTATATGACATCTAAAATTCCGAGCATTGGCATACATTTATAGATGTCAGATCTACATTCTCGAAAAACAAACTATTTCTTAAAAGGCATCAAATTCTACCAACTCTACCATATCATTATTTTGCCCAAATCAATGTTGCATTCAAAGTGTACTCTCCCATTTGAAAGCGCAAACAAGAATCGTTTGATAACTATTTTAATTTTACTTTAAAAATTATGCTTGTTTTCTCACTTTTTTTTTTAAGTATGCTCAACATTTCTTAAAAATACAACTGATTTCTGGGTCAAAATTTAAAAATAAAAAACAAGTTTTTGAAAAACTACTTTCTTAGTTTTCAAATTTTGACTTTGATTTTAAAAACGTTTTCAAAGAAGTAGATGATAAAGTAAAGAAATACAAATGTGAAATAGTATTTACAAGTTTTATTTTCAAAAACAGAAAACCAAAAATAAAATGATTATCAAATGGCGCCTAAGTTTTTCGATCCCCAATTTTTTGTCGCCAAATTCAAAATGACCAAGTCAACATATTTTCTTTAATCAACAAGGATAGGAGCTACGCACGAAATTGTTACACTTTTGTCGTAAGATTGTTGGAAGATTACTCGTCTTCCTCTTTTATATCGAGCGTTTATTCAGGTTCTTATCACACACGCACGAGCACACACAATTTAACATACTAACTTAAGAGAGGAAATTCTCTGATGTGATGTTCATCACATTGCTATATCTGAACTATCCCAACCAATAAATGAAATTAAAAACAAAGAGTTAGGCTGCCTTAACAGATTGTTTTTCCAATGACCATACAATACAATTATTTGGCCATTGTTATTCTATTAATAAAAAAAAACGAAAAAAAAAAGTACTTGAAAATACTTCCTGCTATTAGACTCTAAGCTTGGCAAGGGCTACAGCAATTCCAGCCCCAACAATAGCATTATTCTTAACAAGTGCAATATCTTGGGGAAGTTAAGGAAACCAAGAAACATAAGCTTAAAACAAAAATCCAGGTCTGAATATGATAGCTTGGAAAAGTAAAAAAATAAATAAATAACTTTTTTCGCTTCGTCTCGATCATGTAAGAAATATGCGAAAACTTCCTTGTTAGCCTAACTGACAATGCATGTTCGTTATGATTAAAAATATTTGGAAAAAAAAATGGTCTCAATTGAAGGATACTTGAAGCAAGCGAGGCTCCTCCAGTAAGCTCATTCACTCTTTTAAGTAAGAACGGAGTTTCAGCATTTCCAAGTATATTCTTCTCCCTGTAATCGATACATACAAATAAAAAGAGTTTTTGAGTTTACTGGTAAAGGCATCCTCTCCTACAAGTCAAAAGGTTCAAATCTTCATTTCATATTTGCAATGTTATATTTCAAAATAATTAAAAGAGAAATATAAGTAATATTCTGACTTTATTAGTAGTTCTTCTGAATAATAGCTTCAACTCTTTATTATTTACCGAGCTTCTTGAAGTGCGCTTTGTATTGCATTCTCAGTTAAGCTTCCGGAAGCAGAATGCTCTTTTGGAATTGGAACAGCAATCAGAATTCCACTTCCAAGCCCAAGCTTAAAGTTGGCATCTGCAGAGGAAGACCATAAAAAATAAATAAATAAAGAAAACAATGGAATAAATCACAAGATTGCCAACTATGCGAAGAAATATTCAAGAAGTCTATTATTAGATCAACAAAGGTTGAAAGCTCTGTAGTGACTTGCCAATAAGCTTTGCAGCATCTTCTGGGGTATCGACACGACAAGGCGCCTGCATTTTGTATGTCATGAACAAAAAAGCAATCTTAGTTTCAAATAAAGAACATTCTAGCACATCAACCAGTGAAAATTTACACCCTAACTATAGAATGAGTGAAGATAACCAACCACAAACTTAAAGATTATCTTTAGGTATAACACCATATATATATATATATTTTAGAACTTGAGTCAGAGCTTTGCTCTCCTATATCCAGGGGCACCCGTGCCCAGCCCAAGGCTTAAACTGGAGAGACTTCAAAGGTTATTGATATTAAACTCACCAGAAGTTCTGAAACTTGAGACTTCTGAGCCAATATGAACAAGAGACCCCAAACTCTTGCCAACTAAGCTGTCACTTAGGGGCTTGATATAACACCAAATATTAGGGACAATATAACTGGAATTTAATACCCGTTAAACTAAATAGAGGAAGTGAAGAAACTTTTTGGCTTTGGTAAATTACCAGCAGCATTAGAAATATATAGAGATCTAGAAGGCAAAAAGCAGATATTTAGGTAAATACCTTGCAGCCACTGGTTTCAGTGAAAAATGCAGGAAACTCGTTCGTCCCGTAAGCTGCAACACACACTCCTTGGGTTTCCTGTTAATGATATTTTTGGGACAGTGAATAGATTAAAAAGAAAAGTGCATGATGTGTAGAAAGATTGAAGGGAGAGAAATAGACAACTGTACCAAATATTCAAGTGTCCTAGGAATGTCTAAAATTGATTTTACACCAGCCGAGATGACTGCTACAGGAGTTCTTCCTAGCTCAGTGAGATCAGAAGATATGTCCAGTGCTGCAAAAAGCAGTTGAAAATAAGTACGGGAGATCGATAAAGTTATTCAATGCTCCATGTTGAAACATTAACATGTCAGAACTTTATGTTGAACACTCCAGAAAAAAATTAATGTGATGATCTATAATCTCAGCGTGAGCATCCAGTAAAAAACTAAATTAATATTTGACTTACCAGAGAACCTTAGGAGAAAAATTTGTCAAAAAGCTCGCAAAGAATCCAACTAACATCTCCATATTCCATTAGACACCATTGGACCGAAGTGGGAGCAATACACGAATATGATTTAAGATAAAGCTATCGATTCTACAAAAGCTGTAAGGCCCATGATTGATAAGAGAAAGGTGCAATCTAATCTATACATCACTCAAAATCGTGCACGAAAGCATGCTCTCCAAGCCTTCCACAAATGCCCTTGCTTTGAGGTTGTGCACCCATTTCTCCAATCCCTCCCTCCCTCCCTCTCTCTCTATAGCTTATGAATGTATCTTGATTGACCATGCATATCATCAATCATTCTTTTGTTCTCCTCCATATCTCGCTTCTAATTTTGTTCATCACATGAGTTTTTGTCTCAATCATTTTCTCTCTTTCTAGCTTGTAAATGAAAGTATCTTCCCTCGCCCACCCTTCCCCAAAATAATTGTTCCAAACTGTAAACAAACGTATCTTACTTTGTTCACCATGTCTATGAACTCCTCCAATGCCCCCAGTCACAAACACAGAGATACCAACCTACAATAATTCCACGTAAATAACTGGTGAGAAGGTTAAAAGACTGCAAAATGATGAAGTATGTTTATTGAATCAAATGCAGAATACGACGGAACCACCATGAGGTGCTTACCATAGAAGCAAAGAACATTGTTGCAGAAACAGTAGTAGCACCATTTCCTCTGCTAGCCACCTTATAAGACATGACGAGATAACATGTAATTATCCATGTAAAAAGCATATTTCCAAAAAAACACATTAATTATAAACTACCACGTAGTTTATAATAAGTCCATGTCCTATAATTAAGACTAATGGAGAAAAGGAAAGGAAATAATTATTATATCATACAACTACCAACATCGATATTTTTATGACTATTATTCAAATATTCAATTTAAGTTCAAACCTTGATAATTTCTGAGTAAATTTCATTACATTACCAAATTGGTCAATGACAAAACAAAAGGTAAACTAATACTCACAACTTGTGCTATATCCCTCCTAGCAGTCTTTTGGACTCGGTGTCCCAGAATACTCAACCTCTCCAATTCTTCCTCATTTAGGCCTGCATACAGAGAGCTCCACAGAGTTAGAAATCTCAAAGTGAAAATGCAGCAATCAATGAGATAAGTAGTTGTGGGAAAAACAGAACCAACATAAGGAAAGTTTTGAAGTTTTAATTCTGAATGAATACTTTCAACAATGAAGTGAAATTAGCAGAAGGGTTGGTGGTAAATAGACTCTATTCCAATTCAATGCATCCAAAGCCTTTTTCCTCCAAAACAATTTCATACCTCTGCAAATTCCTCAACAAATATGTTACAATACCACACTCCAAAAAGATATTGTCAAATGATAACTGCTTTAGAGCTCCTTTCAACACAGAGTCACTCTTGCAGTAGTGAACCCATAAGATACCAAAGCACGGGAAAAACTAATTCCACACGCAGAAGGTAAAAGGACAATACACTAGAACATGGTCTAGACCCCCAACTAGACCACTTCTTAGTAAAGCACACACCATTATACCTGGAAATGAAAAGGGGGCTGTCCTCAAAATGCAAGTTATAGAATCCCCATGTTCTTCATGTATAAACGACGTGAGAAGAAAAACTAAACTGTTCTGCTTGCTGACAATGAGAAAATCACTGAGGAAGAAGAGAATATCTAGCCAGAAATGCAGGGCAATAAATAGTAGGGAGTTATTAGAGGTGTCCTTTAATAGTTGGTTATATTTATATTCGGTAGGAAACCATGCACGAGAACAAAGGAAATAAAGAGGAACCTGGGCTAAAAGGGGAGAAGAGGAGAAAGGCAAAATATACAATTATTAGAAAGTGAGTTTGTTGAAAGACTTTGGACTCTTGAAATCTTTTCTAGCTGTAACTCTTCTTAACTCAAAGTAACACTTGAAACTACTTCAAGTTATGAGTAGAGAACATATTGTTTGGAATCAGGGCACTACAACCTTGGGCCATGTATCAAGCCAGCAACCCTAGAGAGAATCATGGAAGCTCTGCATGAGAAATTGGGGGCAACGATGTATAACCATTCCCAAAACTTGAGTGGAAGTGGAAACTCCAAAAGCTTAAGAAACCAATGGGGGAAGGTGGAGCCCTTGTGAGTGCACATGCTTACATTGGGAAAATTGGCGGGGATACTTCTCCATGAGCAAGTTGAGAGTGAGAAAGCTAGAAAGGGTAGTGTTTTCCAGTATGGATACGGAGGGTTGGATACATCATACATGGGATGGGTTGATTCTTCTGAATTAGTTGACTTCAAGGGCTAGATTGGTTGGACACATTAACAAAACTCGATCAACAGGAAGGGTTGGATGGAATTTAAGAAGTTATCTGAATTGGAGTGAAAGTTTCCCAGAGAACGAGCTTTTGTTAATTGTGATAAAAGTTTGCTCCATGGAAAGGATGCAAGAACTAACTGTTGCAGTTACTAATCTAATAGAAGACGAGGAGACTAAGTAGTAGGCAGGTCTCAAAGAGCCAAAGACCACGTGCATAGAAGGCCAAATCAATGGGCAGGACATAGATATATTATTTGATATGTCGAGCAACACACAATTTCATCTTCAAGGATGAGGTTGAGACACTACAACTACCACTTACAGAGACATACATTATGCAAAATTATGTCTCAAAGATATATTGAAGATCATAATTGTCCGAATCGCCGTAAAGCAGCAACCGTGTCCGGATCTGATCTATCACCTCGACAATTCATTGGTGACTTCATGATCTCCAAAGAAGCCCCAAGAAGCATCAGCACAAAGTTTTACCATTTTCAAGCACAAGTCAATGCGTTAAACAATCAAAAATTGAAATCAGTTCAAACCATGACACGAAATTTAGTTCACTCATTACATTGAAGTTGTAGGCCTTCAAATATATCTAGATGGTTAATAAATTGTGTAAGACTATCATTAGCAAGCACAAGCAGTGTCAACAAGTATATAGAGATAGAGTAGTTTAATATAAACACCTACGCATGGTGTGCCATCTAAAATCGCTACAGTTGCAGGAACTGCTCCATTCTTCCTCACTATCGCCTCTACTTCCTTTGCAGTTTCCAGATTTTGTGGATATGGCATCCCTAGATACAAAGAGCGAAAACAGCTTCCAACTATTACGAAATGAATGAAAAGAATAACAATTTTATTGTGTTCATTAGTTTTTGAATATCCAAAAATAGTCGACCTTCACTAATTTGCCTAGTTTTCAAACTTAACATTATTGGATCCTACAGCCTAAGTCATCAGAAATGAATCTTCATTTTTGTAATGCCCCCTACTGTGTTTCAAGCTCCTGTAAAACCAATTAATTTCAAATGCAATGGTTCTTCTACTCTGAGAATCATACACAATATTAGTGTTTGATCCATTACAAGATTTGTCCGAGTCACTTTGTTTCTTTTTGTCCAAGTTTGTCCAAGGTACAATCATATCATCATCCATCATAAGGATGAAGAAAACTAGTTTTGACGAAAGGGGATCAAAAGTTTAAAATAATTCTACAAAACCCGAAAGCTCATGGCATGAAATTATTGAAATGGCAAAGAAAAACAGAGTCACCATGTGAGATGATGGTTGATTCAAGGGCAACAACGGGATGGCCGCGAGACAAGGCAGCAGAAACTTCGGCAGACATCTTAATTAGGCCTCCTCCATTTGAAGCGTCAATGGCACCCTTTCAACATTACAGAAGAAGACACATCAGTAAGCAAAAGATGGAAAAGTAGTTCAAAGAGATAATTTTGATGATTCTGACCTGTGGGTTATCTGTGTTTCTCGAGTCTGAAGGGTGGAAGTGTCTACTGAGATTAGATATTCTTGAGAGAGCTGAAGAAGAAGAAGAAGAAGGATAAGACGCCATTGTTCTTTTGATCAGACTGGGGGGTGGTGGATAATTGGGCTAAATCACAAAATTAGTTGCGGCAGAATGATAGAGTTTACAGAATTCCCCGCAACATTACCATTTAAAAGGAGGTTGAAAAATAAATAAATAAATAATTCGATCGCTCGGTCTAAATTTGTAACAATGTTGTTTCTTTATATGTAACGATTTAGTAGTATGTAAACATATTTAATTACTAATTATTTTGTTTTTTTTAAATAACTCATTATTTTGTTATTGTTCTATGTATATAAGAAATATTATTACCACTCACCGACATTTTGTACGCAACTAAATTAGCCTGCACTAAAATTGAAAAAACTTATCAACTAAATTGTAACAAATTTTAAAATAAAAGGAATAAATTGTTACAAAGAGAAAGTAAACATTACTCCCAATAAAATAAAATTAAATGTAAATTGAAAAAATTTATTGACTAAACTGTAACAAATTTTAAAATAAAAGGAGTAAATCTATATCTATATCTATATCTATACTATATTAAAAAGGTAGGAGGTAGAAAAACATTTTTTGACACTTTTGCCCTTTACTAAATTTACAAATTATGCCATTAATATATTATTACAAATATTAAATTAATTATTAATTATTAATTATTAATTATCCATACTATAAATGCATGGAATAGAAAAGGTTAGAATGCAAAAAGTTTTCAACAACATAAAATTAATTTTTTCTTTAATTAAAATTCATACTAGAATTTTAAGAGTTTTAGAATTTGAAAAGCTTTTGTAACGTTTTATCCTCTACTACTATAAAAATAACCTTTCTTCTACATGTTTTCCACAAGTTTCAATACTTTTTTATTCTTAGTTCCTTGAAACATCTCTCAAAGATGATTCAATCTTGAAAACATCTCGAGATATTTGTAACATATTCATCAAGTTGCAAGGGAGGCATGTGTCGAATCTACATATCTCGAATACTAGGTTTGTGACATTACCATTCCACAATTTTACAAAGTCGAATAATAGTATCTGTCAAGCAATCTGAGCATATTTACTCTAAAAGATGAGTGTATAGTAAGTACTTGGATTTTTTTTTTGTTACTATTGTTATTTTTCTAATTAGTGTGTTTTTTATTTGGAATGCTTTTTTTTAGCAATTTTATTTATTTTAGGATTTGGATTTTTTTTTGTTACTAATGTTTTTTATTGTTTAGTGTATTTTTTTTATTTGGAATGTTTTTTTTTTGAGCAATTTTATTTAGAATATTTGTTTAAAATATAGATAATTACAAGTTCATGGTCTTATTGTTGAAAAAAAAACAATCATAGAAGTCAATATATAAAAAAATGTTTAATTAATAAATTAATTATAAACAATAATTTGTATAAAAGGTGGAATATAAAACTTTTGGTCATTTTATTTTCTAATAATAATTTGAAGAATTTTTCTTTAATAATTTTAATTATAATATAAAATTAAATCAATAAAATAATTTATATTTAATTAAAAAATTCAACATATATAACAAAATGTCAACTCTAAACAAATATTTAATAAACAAACAAAATATTAAAAAACAAATAAATGACCCATATTAGATTGAAATAATTCAAAAATAAAAATATTAAAGTACCTATTTACTTTTTTATTAATATATAATTTTTTCCTTTACTTTTAATTTATTTATTTACAAAATATATCATTAACAATTAATTATAAATAGTATATTTAAAAAATAATTATAAATAGTACATTTTATTATTAGTAATTAGCTGTCATTAATAATAAATATATATAAAAATTAATCTTAATTATTTTTTAAAATAATTATACTTAAAATATTTTACGTGAAATTATATAAAATTTAAGTTATCTTATAATTAAAAAAAATTTATACGTGCATTGCACGTGGTAATACAGTATTACCAGTGTTTACAAAAGGAAGTAATCCTTACTTCCACAATAAAATTAAATGTGATATTTATCCATAGAAATAATTATAAAACAAACAAAATTCTAATTATACATATCCCAAAATTTCGGTTTTATTTTAAAGCTATGTATTTCGCTATGTAAATGACAAAAAACATGTAGGTTTCATGTAATTTATACCTTGACTTTTATGTTTTTATTAATTTAATAATTTTTTATCGATTTAGTTTACATTAAATTTAAATGTTATTTTATAGAACATACGAAGACGAAACACGAGAAGCTAAATGACATTTTAATCATCGAATTTGTTTTTAATATAATTTTAAACTTTTAGACTTTAAATGACATTTTAATCCAAATTTAAAATAAAAAAATAAAAAATTTAATCATATTTTAATTAAAATTTCGCAATATTAATAAAATAACAATATATAAATTAAAATATAAATAAAAATAAAAATGTGGAAGTCGCGTACCAAAAGAAAAAAAAGTGATTTTCGCCTAATCACTTGTCACGTCAAATATACACGTTTGCACGAGAATTGTAGGCATTGTATCGCGAGTTTTGACTTTTATTTTTGTCAATGGTTTTGAAAACCTAACTTACATCTGAATTTATTTATTTAAATTACATTTATTTTGTAGTTATTTTTAAACTAATATTATTTTTTAATTTATTTTTAAAACTAGATTATTTTAAGGGGCAACTTGAGATATGACAAAAAAAAGTTAGGAAAATAAGCAAAATAGCAATAAGGTTTGAGATTTTCAAATATAGCATTTTTTTTGGCAAAAAAACGGAGGCCCACGTTATAAATTACAAATATACCCTACAGGCCCGAACCAACAATAAATTACTTCTGATTGACTTCTGATATACTAGTGATTGATAGATATACTCCTGATATATATGTGATATATGTTTGATATACATATGGTATGAAATTGATTTACTTCTGATATAACTATGATATCTACTACTATAGGTGACATAGAATT